ACGAATAAAAACATGATGAATTGTCTATTCAGTAAATGAGCAAAATTCACGACAATATAAAATTTCCAATTTAAAAGATCATTAAGAATAAATTTTTATTTTTTATATTCGTGACTCAAGTCGATTATGTGATGTGCTTGTTTCTGAAGAGTTCAAACAAACAAATCATACATTCATGAAGATATTAAGTTATTAAATAAGCATGACAGATAATAAATAATAATATCAATTTTACTCTTCAAATTTTGAGTCATGAAACATTGTTTTTCTATAATAGTTTTATTTTCAGTTTCGCCAAATATTTCCACACAAAATATTTTAGAAGCCTTTGAAATTTTTATCTATAGCAGAAAAAATTGTATATAATTACCGCTGATACATCAATTAACATGATTTGAAAATAGAATAAATGATAATAAATATAAAAATTGGTCAAACTTTTAAGCGACCGCTAATTGTTTTTGAAAAATTATGGTTTTGGATTATTTGATAAGATTTTACAAAAAAATATATAAGCACATAATTAATCTTGAAGTGGATCTTTCAAACAAATTAAACTAATCTCATGAAATTTTTCAGACAATAAGGGATTATTTTCTAAAACCGCGGTTCGTTTTTTCCGCGTCAGAGGCAACTTATAAAATATGTGGGGCGCGTAGCTGTGGAAAGGTGAAAAATCAAGCCGCACACCTATAGTATTAAACGAACCAGCGCAGAGGAGCATACCGTGTCATGTTGTAAACTTTGGCTGTAAATTTAAAGCCCACTTGAACTTTTATAACGCAGCGCGAGCGAGATGCTGCTGCCGGGCCCGTCGGAGGTGTTAACTTGCAAAATGCGCCACCAGCAGTTTGCCGAGCTCGCGCCGTCGGATAAGCAAAAGCACGTCTCTCTATACCTGCATCCACACCTACTCTTAATCCCCTCCGAGCTTCACGGGCGAAAATTCGCCCGAATGAGCCATCAATTGATTAAAAGCACCGACGATCCGCTTTTGCAACACCCGGCCTGTAAATAAAGTAACCGGCGTTTCAGTCAAAATTGCTCGTGAGGTGAAAAAATAAAATACGAGAGGCGAGACGAGAGGATAAATCTGTGAAAATCTGATAACGACAAAATATATATCAATCTGGTTAAATATATATTTTTTTGCAATAAAACTTTCCAGTGCCAAAAAATCTCTGAAAATGAAAATACCGAGAACGAAAGATTGACGCACTGTGTACATTTTTAAACCATTTAATAAAACTTGTAAAAGACTAGCCAAAAAAAAATGTTAAATTAAAAAAATATTAATGTGTGTGAAATTACACCAATCGAACAAAAAAACATTATTTTGTACCTGATATTCTATAGAAACAACCATTTTATTGTTATAATTTACATTATATGGATTAATTTGAATTAATGAAAGTCTATTTTGTTCAGAAAATAATACAATTACGTTCATTTTTTTATCAAATTAATTCACGTGAGATTGCGTGAGAATTAACAACAAATAATAATCCATTTATTTTTTTAAATGTATAGAGTTGCCAAATATGAATGACGATTTTTATTGACATACTTCTGTAATTATCGCAGTTCTGAAATGCTGGAGGCAATTGATTTAATTTTTTCCAAGTGCAAATTATTCAAGTAAATTCAAAGTAAAATTATTATAAAAGAAAGTCTCTAGTTATTAAATCACTAGAAAATAATATAGGCTAAACTGACGATAATTAAAAAGTAAGTTTTAATTTCTCAAGTCTTTGGACAAACTAACTAAGATGTATTTAATTTTATGATTTCTAATTTATTTGCTGGACAAATCATTTTATGCAAAAGGCTATGATGGAGTGTGGTGGAAATAACCCAAACAACGGCGCCAAAGGGTTTATTTTGCATCTCGGGTGCGCGCAGTTGACATTTCGCCGGGAGCTTTTGTGTATTATTATTGCTATTATGATTATCATTAGGCCGCCAAAGTGCGGCTGCCGGAATTCTCTTTCGTCGTTCGCTCTCAGCACAATTGTGCTGCTGTGTATTTAGGACGACGCCGTCGCAAAGTTTGCTCAGCAGCAACAGCGGCGGCAAAGCTGCAGCAGCGCAGAGTGTTTGTTATGAATTACTCGTGCGCTAGCTCGTGTTTCTTCTTCTGCTTTGACGTATTATTCCGCCAGGCTTGTTCCGGCTAACATATTTCCACCTTTATTGCTGGCAAAACGGCGTGCGCAAATACAACGCGCGGCCTCTCCGCATCCAAAGTTTGCCCTCGCTAAGCCCTTCCCTTATTGCATTAGCCTAACGGAATGATTTTGACTTGCTCCAAAAACAAAAACAAAATCTTTATTCACAATTATTTTCTATTTCAAAATACTGAAAATATAAAATTGGTTAAAAAATTAATTAAAAATTTCAAACTTCAATCAAATAAAAATACTGAAATAAATAAAAGTGGCAGCTACAATTTTGATGTGATCTAATAACCCCCAGACTCCCCAGTGGTACTTTTTTCTGCACGACTTTTCTGTTTGCTATTATTGCATGAATTTTCGGTCACAAAAATTAAAAAAAAAAGTATAATTACATTTTTCTTTTTCAGTGTGGCAAAAATTAAAAAAAAAAAATATAGCTCCAATTGAGTAATTTTGAGTCGTTCAAAAATGTGATTAGCCCTATTGATTAAATCCACACAGTCCTTCCAACGTAGAGCTGAAATAAAATTAAAATCATGAACTTTGTAGATTTATTTCTTGATTTTTGTTTCAGTTTTTCAATGAGAGGTTTGTTATTATAATTTTTTTTTATTCATTAAGTCGGTGTCAGCACGTTGTTTTTGTTCCATGTATGGTGTACAATTTTTCACCGTAGAAGTGTATTCCTCTGAGCGCACTTCACAGACTTTCACACTAGTTAAGAGAGAAGACGCAGCACGGCGCGAAATGTTGCAAAACAGTAATTAGCCCTAGAGCGCGCGTTGCCTGTCATTAAAAGTGAGCCACACTAATAATTCCGCAGCAGAGATAGAGCGAGCAAAAGTTAAATATTACAAACGTGTGCGCCGCTCGTTCTTTATTATCGCGGACACGTTGCACGAATTTTCTCTATTATTCTTGAAAAGTGTAATAGACGCCGGCAGAGGGAGCAGAGACGACTTTATTCTCTGGGCAGAGAGTTAGTGAGCCGGCGAAAATCATTATCGTCCTCATCATTGTCATCTGTCGCCAGCAGACGCCGGCCGCGCGGCAATGGAGCTCTTCGGCACCCTCGAAAAATTAACCCGGCATTATTTTATTGTTGTTTGCCAGCCGGCCTTTGTTTTATTTGTCCTCTCTGCGCTGGTAAACGGGAATTTTTTAATTATAGCCCGGCATTTTTTAATTACGAGGACAATTAAATAGCGTGTGGGCACGTGTGTGAACTTGAGCCTCTTTGGCGCAAAAGGAAGGAAAAGAAAGAAAGAAAGAGTAAATTTATTCGCACACCACGCCGGGCCAGTGTGATAAGGCGAGGTATGCAAATTGGCGCTTTTATCACCCGGACTGGTTGCATACTGCTCGCCAGAGACTAGCAAAAAGTTATGCTAGCAGTCGTGCCAACTTTTTATGCAGTGTCCTCTCTGGCTGCGCGCGCTATATTTGATAAATATGTGAAAGTTGGAGAGCCGCCGCCGTGTCGTAATTCAAAATGTTTTCACTTTGCGAAAATGTTGGAAAATGAAAAGGGTCTCTGCCAGCGCAGTGCGCGCTACTGGAAAAGGCCCGTGTTTGTTCAGAGCAGGCAAAATATGCAGCTTTTTATATTTTACTCTCACACTACTTCGAGCTTTGATGAGTAAATATAAAATATTTTTTAATGAGAGATACATTAAAATACAGAATATAGAAATAAATAAAAACTAGTTTAACTCAATATAAATTAAAATTACACGGCAAAATTTTTAATATTGGTATATATCTAGATAAAACCAGACTAAATTTTGTGGGTATGTGGGTGTGTTTCTTACAACTGATTGGCTTGAAGTGTACGTGTTACTTTGCCTTTGAGCTGCGTCAAGAAGTGGTTAATTGTGTATCGGTGAACTTTTGGTGTTTTTGTTACTGGTGGAAAGTTATAATTGGTTATTTTGCAATTGATTTATTATTACAAATGTAAGTAGAAAAAGGAAAAACTGAATCTTTTCATTATGCAGAATTGCAGAGGAATAATGTTAATAAACAATATACAATATTAGCTTTGATAATGATTTTCTAGAAGAAGTGATATTTATATTTAAAAAAAAATCTATATTACATTACAATTTTTTAAACATCCAATTTGTTTTACATAAAATTCAAAATTTTTACGCACTAAAAAATAGTATTCATATGAATTTGATACTTCAATATTTTTAGTGTTTTTATTTTTAAGAAAAAGTATTGTTACTGGTTCATTTTTGGTCAAATTGAGGAAGCAATTGTGAGATAAAACAACAAACTCTGTGTCAGCGTGTTTTTTTCCCATAACAAACAAGGCCTCACGCTTTGTCTAATTATCCAATTGATTGCATGACAGGAAGCGCCGAAAAATAGGACTGGAATGAAATTTGACGCCAATATAAATGTGCTTGATTGCAATCGAGGCAGTTAACAGTCTCATTAATCATCCAATTACCACACACTCTGTTACGGAGAAGGGAAAAACACACACACACACAGCAATAAAAAGGGCCATTTCGGCCAACGTGCTGGTGCTGGTGCCAAATTTTTCAATTATAAAGTGATTATTGGTCTCGTCGGATGAGAATGGGGCGAAACAAAAATTGAAAAGCTGCAGGGAGGTGTCGATCGCGAATGATTGAAATTGCACTCTCCAATTTGAGCTCAATCAGCAGCCATACGGGGTTTGATCGTGGCACGGCAGATAATGGCACAGGGTTTTTCAATTACACGCGAGAGCACAATGAAAAACGAAGGCCGCAATGAAGTCATCTTCGTAGTGGGTGGGTTGCTTTTCTTTTGGGCGGGAGGACCTAGTATAAAAAGAGCTGATCGCCAAACGCACGCTCTTCCAACAGCAAGCCCAATTATTAGTGCAGGATATCGCCTTGTCGCGGACGCACGTAAGTCAAACGTTTTATTCCTCCATTCATTTTTTTCTTTCATTAATGAATATAGTTTGTTATAATAGTAGCAATCCATGAAACGTTCATATATTTAAAATTCAAATGTTTTTTTGCTAATATATTCATAGTTATTATTAAATTTAATTTATTATTACATTTTACTGATTTTGTTGGTTATTATTGTAATTTGTTAAATTTTTGCAAATAATTTAGATTTTATTTATAAATCCCAGCGATTATTTATAGCATTATCATGATACAATGAACGATAAAATACTTAATTGCAATTTTTAAATTTATTAACTATTATTAGTTTAGCAATAAGTTAAACAAATAAAGAATTACATAAGACAAAAATTCAAAAATTGAATGGTGAAATGGCTTCAGTGACTTCAGCGAGTTTTATGCAATTATATGATTTATAATGCAAGATCCATAAAATTTAACAGTATAATTATATAAAAATTACGTTACAAACATATTATCTTTTAAATATCAAAATATTATAAATTAAATTACTCTACTAAGTCGCCTTTCAAAATAATGTTGACTTTTATTTATTTTTGGGATATTTATTATAATCATTAACATTATTTGAAAACAATTTCTTAATTTAAAATCATAAAAATTAAAATTAAATTTCTTAGCATAATTGTTTATCCTGAAATTTATTTTCATGTAGTAATTTAAGTAGCGGGCGGCGGCAAACATCTTTGTGGCGATGTCAACGGATGCCCTGGACGAGAACGTCACTGGTGCATCTTCTGCCGCTGCTGCATCCGAGCAACAGGAAGAAAGAGGCGAGGGTGGGGCCAACAATCGGCCTAATAACAGCGGCGAAAAGTCGGCGAGGAAGAAGAGCGGCATGACATCAGCAGTCAAGGCCGGAAGGAGCCTCTCCACCTCAAAGGTAAGACCAGCTTAATTGCACTCGCTTTGTTTCTTTCAACTTTGCAATGCCCGCCGAGACCCTTGCATAATTAATAGCCACCAGAATAAAAAAAAAAGAGAATCTATAAAAACGTCTCCTTAAAAAAGACACGCAAATTGTGCATAAAATGCTAATAATGAGCAGAACAGAGAGAAAAAATATTAAAAAATTCATTAGAAATATTAAGTACAAAAATAAAAAAATGTTATATTGTAAAGAACTTTCGTGTTTTTGATAAGAAACTTAATGGGAAGCAACAATTTAAAAGAAGATTCTCTAGATCCTGGTTGAATTAAATAGAAAAAAAATTAAAATAATTTTTACCCACCACTCTGGGAGACTTGCCAGCTTTCTTAATATTTGCGCATAAAAACAGCTATTCCCTAAAAATATTAAGCTGTGGAACAATCAATCAACTTAAAGAAAAGGGAACTTTGATCTGTGGCGTCTGTGTTGTGCTTTGGTGTCTTTATTAAGCCGGTCTGATGTCACACGGAAAATCGATTTGCGTGCTTCAGCAGTCGGCTGCGGCAGCGGCGGCGGCCGCTTTCGGGGACAGCAGCGGCGAGGAGGAGGGCTCGGACTTGGAGCTGTCGGACACGGAGCGGCACTTCCTGACCAAAGGCGCTTTTCTGCTCACCCCGAGCAACGAGTTGACGCTCGAGAAGGCCGAGGCCATTGTCGACAAGATGAACTTCCGCGCGCCCTTCTCGCTGACCAAAACGGCCACCGGCATTCTCTTCAAATTCGCCGAACCAGACGACTGCGCCGCTGTTTACAAGAAGGGTTTCCACAAGGTAAAACTCTCTCTCAAACAAACCTCTGCGTTTTCTGATCAAAGCCGCCTTCGCTGTGAATAAAGCAGCGAAAAAAAAGAAAGAACGAAAAACTTCTTGAGAGGATTTGTCTCGAGAGTCTCCGCAGAAAAGCAACAATTATATTTCAGTCACTGTGCCGTTTCCTCCCTTATACATTTTCACCCGGCGGCTCATGTTTTTTCTGCCTTCTTCCTAATTATGATCACACTTTCACAAACACATCTTGTATTAAAATAAATGCACACGTGAAAATTCCTGATTTTAAAACTAAAAAAATTGATAAATTTCTACAATGAATTGAAATTTATTTTTTGTTTTAATTGTAGGTGACTGGTGCACGATTTTACAAGAAAATTGTGATTCCATGTCGGCCGATGCGGACCTATGTCGTTTATGCACTGGACGTCCCAGACAGCATCCCAGTGGAAGACATTCGCCATGCTCTCTTCAAGCTCCAGTCAGTTGTTGAGGTAAAGTACGTTTTTTCATTTATTTTTTCCAATGTCTGATATTATTTTTTAATCAAAGTACACAATTTTAAACTGATATCTGAATGTGCAAAATTAAATTTTAAATTATAATGTAGTGGGAAAAAATGAGTAAAGAAAAAAAAAAGGATTTTGGAGAAGAAATTAGTTTAATTTCAAAAGTGGAAAAATAAAAAAATAAATGTGATATAGAGAAATATTTGAGAAAATATTTTGTTTTCACTTGGTCTTTTTTAATTTTTATTTGCATTTTTCCATTTTTATTTATTTCTCATACTCTTATTTAACAATACACATTAAATTCCTATATACATTAAATCGTGAATATAATCATAAGTTTTTGCACAACTCACACACTAAACAATATCTAAAATTTCTACAATTTATTTAAACAGACGATGATAGCTAATGGGATGTCTCTAAAATTCTAAAATATAATTCAAAAGAAATTTGGAAATTACATTCTGAATCTTTTTTCAATATTCAGGTGAGCCGCGTGGTCTCCTCCACACACTCCACCTCAGCACCGACCCTCGGCTCGTCGTCGACGTCTCTTTCCACCCCCGTTGGAGGCGTGGGGGCGGCTTCAAGTGCGGACAAGAGTGGCCCGTCGACGCCGCTAATTCAAGTGTCCGCAGCCGCGACCGCCACCAACAACGCTGTGGCCGGCTACTGTCCGCTGGTGCGCATCACTCTCGGCTCGCAGGTATGTACACGTGGTAATTAGCGGTCTGAATATTTCACCAGGTGCACTGCAGGTGGCCTAAGAGGGTGGGGTAATAATAACCGCTCGCTGCATCGCCCTCAATTATTCAAAGCGATCCGCAAAAGAAATTAAACAGGCGCCGCCATGAAAAATGGATGCACAACTGCTCGTGCATTATTTGTGGCGGACGCCGCGATTTTTAATTTTGGTTTACGACCACCACGGCTTTCAAATATTAATGGCCGCTGTGCTTTTGGATCTAAAGCGTGTTTCGGCCATGAAGGGATTTTACTTGTGAGCTGAAAGATTGTTATTTTGAACAATTTTGAATAACATTAAGGGCTAAACTGTCTTAAATATTAGTTTTAATTTTTGATTTGCCGTATAAGCATTATTCTTTGATATCTAATAAAAAAAATTATTGTTGGATTACCTAAAATAATATTTTACCAATTTTAAAGCTTTCCTAATGAAAACGTATTACTAGGAATTCTAAAATTACAGCTTCAAATAATTTTTGCAAAGTATTGTATTATATATTACTCTATATTGTTATCTATAGAATAAATATTTTTTATCAAAAAAATTGTTAAACCATGCGAAAGTTATTTGCGATTATTTTGCAGAAACGTTTGTGCATGAAATAGATTTATTCTTTTTGGCTTCCGGCGACTTCTGACAAAAAATTCCCTGCCGATTTATTGCAATTTCTGCCCTTTTAATATTTATGGCTGCCTCCATTTTTCAGTCTGCCTCAAAATTCCATTCCGTTATTGCTGAATATTTGTCAGCACGAAATTGTCGGGAACATCATTTTTCACCCGAATTTTCCTTCTGCATAATAAATCAAACCCACATTGGAAAGTCAACACACAGCGAATGCAAATATAACACTCTTGACAGCTGCAAAAGTTGGTGCCGCCGCCGCCGCCGACGTGCGATTACTGATAATTTTATTAGGCCCTAAAACACAATGACTCAAACTTTTCTCGCCCTGTCTTGCGAATCACGCAATTCTTTCCCCGATCGACCGCTGCAATTTCCTCTCAGGGGCACCACTTGCAGCTTTTTTCCATCTGAAAAGAAGAACAAGAAGTGCAGCGTAATCTAAAAACGGTGCTTTTGCGACCGTGGCGATAATTTGATGCCATTTGGTGATAGTGCGCGTCGTTTCGAGGGTTGTGCTGCGCCCTTCTCTATTTAAATTATGAGTGTGGCGGCGGAAAAAGCAGATTCGCCGCAAATCTACACGCAATTTGTCAAAATTTCAGCCCGGCCGCCGTAAAAAAAGCGCCATGAATATGAAATGCGGACGCGCGCACCTCTTTTAAATAACCACTCTTTATTCCTTTTGAGATTTATCCTCGCGCGCTCTCTCTCTCTCGTCAGATGAAATCTTAAGTACAGCTCCTTTCCTCCTTTTACTGCTGCGCGAGATGCCCTCCAAGACACGCTCCCTTTTTGGCGAAATGACACATTTTATTGGCCGTACCCAATAACAGAAGCCAGCGGTCAAAAGTCTAAAAATGTCCTTTGAAAGGGAAATGTATTATTTTATCTAAAAACGTAAGAGGGATATCTATCTAGGATTATTTTTATGTTAATATTTTTGTTAATATATTAACATCAGGCAATACAATCTGAAGAAATATGTCTCAAATCATTACTAGGCAAACAAATAGGATTTGTGACATTTGTGTAATGTATTGTTCATTTTCAAACTTAATATTTTCACGTGATTTAATTAGATTACTTTTATTTTGTCTTTAAAATGCGGTATAGAAATAAATTATTTAACAGTAAGAATTTATATTTTATAATTTTGTAATAAATAATTTTTTAAATTATATATAAATATTAAAATATAAATCATCTAGAAAACTTCCTAAACGATATTTTTAAATAAAAATAATAAGCATTGTTTAAAGAATAAACAAAATTTAATATTAATTTAAAGTCTTCTAATCTATTAATTACAGCTTTTTAATTATAGTGTAGCAAGAAAGAATCAATAAATAAAATCAAAACGTTCTGGTATTTTTCAGGAGGAGGCAAACGCGTTGCTGCAAAACGGCCTTGATTTTTTCGGCGCCACTTTCTTCCCGACCGAAGCTGCTCGGCCCATGAAAAAGACGTCGGTCTGTGGCAAAGCTGGAGTCAGCGGTGGATTCTATCCTGGCTCGGTGTTGTCCGAAACCTTCGGCGCCTTCGGAAGCAACAACGGAATGATGGGCACGCGGATCAGAGAGCTGGTGCCCGTTTTTGACGCCTCCGGATTTGCCAAAATCGCAGCACCAGCCGAGAGGACGGTCAAACCACGAAATTAAACCTAAAAGCATTAAATTTGTTTTCTTTTCGAATTAATTATCAAATCTTTTAGTAACCAGATTTCTCGCTTTTGGTGCAAACCAAATCTTCCAGCATTTCTCTGTATGAAAATTTTAAAATAAAACTTCTATTTCCTTATAAAATACAAATGTACAACTTCATTTCAATTTCCACCTGAGAGGCGAGGGCGTGAAATTTGTAATAATTGTATACTTGAATGTGGCACAATGACCGTGAACGAGTATTTGGAAAGTTTTGCTTCAGGAAATTGGCTCTTTGCTGTCACGAAATTCAATCAGAAGTGCTTTCCAGGGCGCACAGAGCGGAATTGTCCCAGAGCGTCAGGGCCGTTATCGCGATTTCGGGGAGGGGCCTTAATGTGTCCGAAATAATTGTGTCCGAAAGTTTTTTCTGGAATTTGTCCGAAAACTTTCATCCGAAAATTTGATCCGAAGTTAAAAATATAATATATCCGAAAAACTTTTATCCGAACCATAATTTGTCCGAATATCTTTCCTCCGAATCTTAATTTTTCCGAAAAAACTTTCTCCGAAGTAATACTGTAGTTAGTCTCCCTCAAAAGCACCAGAAACATGCGCACTCCTTTCCGCGCACTCCCACCTGCTCCCTGGCCAGCCGCTGGTTATGGGTTTGTTTTGTGTTGGTTTGAGGTGAGTGAGACTGTAAATACAAAATGTCCAAAAACATAAAAAGGAAGTTCTTCACAATGGATTCCTGCTGCATATCAACAGATCAGTGAAAACCCCGAAGGTGACAACAAAGTACCTGCAGTGCTCCAAATATCCTTCATGTACAGCGAGAGGCAAAAAGGTTGATGATGGTGAACCGCAGTGCTATCGATTAGACACAACCACAAGCATAGGACTAATAACAGCTTAGAGTCTTTCCACAAAAAGCTAATAGGGATTGTGAAGACTGCCCATCCAGGAATTTGGCCATACATTGCGGCACTGAAGGCATTGACAATGAAAGCACTCTCTGATTTGGAATCATTAAACGTTGCCTGCAAGGACAAGAAAACTTAAATACTTTCACCAAGACAGATTCATCAAGGAACAAACAAACAGACTTGCTGACGGGAGCATTAGCATCAGGCTTTTCCTGGAGAGGATTTCATACAGAATGTACGATCCTTTGAGGGCTGCAGAAAGACAGGAATTTATATCTATTTATTTATATATAACTTAAACATTTTTTTAATTTTAACAAAACCCAGTCCAACATCAGAGGTCAAAGCGGCGTCAGGACAACCAGCACGACTCTGACTCGGACTAGAGACCCTTGAACCTCGACTGAATCTGGAACTCTGTGACAAACGTTATTTTTAACGGGCTGTGAATTAAATAAATAAGAATACTATACATTACCATACTACTCAATTTCGGACAGTTTCATTTCGGATGAACCATTTTTCGGAGAAAAAAAATTCGGATGAAGTATTTTCGGAGAAAATTTTGAAAAAATTCGGACAAAAATATTTCGGACACATTATTTTCGGACACTTTATTTTTCCGGATTCGGACACAATTATTTCGGACATATTATGGGCCCCCATTTCGGGCACGAATGAATGGCCGACGTCATTTGTTCCGTTTGATTTTATTGTTGGCCTGGCGGAGATGTCCGTCGGCTGTAAATAAATTCGAGTGTTTTGGCATCGAATTTATTGCATTAAACTTGTTCGTACAAACACAGAGAACGAGACCGAGAGAGACGCAGCGAGTGACGATGGAAGTTGTACGGTGTAATAAAAGAGGGAGGACACAATTCCTCGCGGAACGCAGAGAGCAGACTGGCGGCGGCCGAAAGAAAAGTTTAGCCAAGTTCCCCAGATATTTGTGCCGCTGCACGCGCGCGACCCCGTTTCGCAAACTTGCTAATTGAGTCGGCGAAAACACAATGAAACAGACGCGGCAAAGACGGCGAGTTTTAATAGAAGAGAGAATTGTTGTGGGCGACAGACACACTTTACTTACTTAGTTGCGAGTAAATTGAAAAAAAGAGGGTGAGGGTGGCGCCTTTAAAGCATCAAAGCGGAGAATAAAGGAGCGACCCTGCCTGTCACTGCGCTCGCTCAAAACGGCCCCAGAAACTTTGCCGCAATTACAATTGATGTTCACTTCCGTCCAAAGTGACTAGAACAGAGCTTACCTTCTATTAGGGCTCTTTGTTGGACTTTGGAAGTTGCGTTTCATTGTCAGCGGTCACTCGAGGAGAAAATTTGACTTTTGAATTGAGTTTGACCACGGAAGTGGGCGAGTGCTTCGAGAATTCTGAAAGTTAATTTGTGTCACTGAATAAAATATTTAACTGCAAATCAGTTAATTTCTGACCAAATGAGATAAGATCACACAAATACTTAGTTAGATACAAATGAAAACATACAACTTGAAGACAGGGCAAGATATAAATTCTACGATAAAAGTTTATGAAAAAATATTGCAGTTAAACAATTTTTGTAAAAATTTTATTTTGATATTTACAAAATAGGTTCCTAAATTTTTTTATATTTTTCAAATTAGAAGCGTAATAAAATTAATTATGTATGATAAAATTTACAACAATATTTTCAGTAATTGATAAAAGGCTCGCAATAATGCGTAATTTTAATTTTTAATAATTGTTAATAATTTTCTTTAGTTATAATTGCATTTATTTATTATTAATAATTTGATTTCTGTAATTTCATCGTGTGCTTTACAATTCAAATTTGTTATTTTAGCTAAATTTTAAATTATAGATTTAATCTAAATATCAAATTAAATTTATAGAATCAAAACTGGAGTGTGTCTATTTTATATCATAATTGAGAACATGAGAACCATCGTTATTTTGTTCATCTATTTGCTAACAATAATTTAAAAAAATTGGTAGAATGTTAATTAAATAGACAATGGGGGACAATAAACTGCCTGTTAATTATAAGGATGACCCTCGCTGAGAGCAAATAGGACGTAATTCTCTCTGTTTTTATCAGCAAAAGTTTGAAGAAATATGAAAAGTAACAAAAAGATAGAGCAGTTGAACGAATGATGTCGCGTGTGTTGGAAATATCGGGACGCCAGTCATCACTTTGCTCCGTCGTCTACAAAGTATCGCGCAAACGAGCAAATTATGCTGCAATTTGGCGAAAACGACGACAACCGCAGACATAATTCAGCGAGAGCAAGCAGGCCGGCGTAACGAGCAGCAATAATTTAGCAGCATTTGGCGTCATTAGTGTTGGCCGCCGCTCGGTGAAAAATCGCCCAACCGCGTGGGTAATTGAATACGACCGGTCAAATCCAAATTTGATTGATTGAGCGTGACTTGGTGAGAGAGAGAGAGAGAAGGGGCTCCTCCAAAAGCATACATAATGTAAATTTGACGCTCTTTATTACAACAGCTGCTGAACGTGTATAATTTTAAATGAATTAAAAATTAAATGATATATTGAAAATTTATTTACGAAGTATTTTTTGTATCCGTAAATTCCAGTTGATTTTTTGCGCACTCATAGAAATGTAATTCTTCACATTAACAATATTATTTATAAGAGTTGATATATAATTTAATATAAAAATATCTGGCTTCTCTTCATATATATAATAAAACTAAGTTAATGTAATTAATGTAATTATACTATAAAATTATTAAAATAACTACATAATACAAAAAACTTTATTTAATTTTTAACTCGTTTTTTAATTTTATGTATAGCTGAAAAAAATTAAGTTTACTTTAAATTTTAAATCTGAAACCACTTTTATGAGCATTAGGCCGTCTGATCTGTCGCATTGATTTTGAATGACTGATGAACTGATGATTGGACATCTTGTGTGCTGCTTCTGTACATGAGGAGTGCGCGTTTGAAGCGATCGATCCACCTATATAATGCCTCATTGCGACAAGCCCTTTATGACTTTGATGACCTGGCAAAAGCAGCACTGGAAGCGGCAAACGCCCCCCGTGTGCCCCATCCCCTTGTGATTTGATTAGAGGACGCGAAAGTGCAGGTGAGCGGCGAGTTGCCTCGAGAGCGTTGCCGCCGTTCAGGTTTGCCAACGCGGCATTTTAGAAAATATGCACATTGCTCTCTTTAGAGTAGAGAGTGCTTGGCGTTGAAATATTGCAATATAATAAAAATTATGTGTTTTTAATCTGGATTATTTATATTAACTTCATTATTTTTTTTATGAAATAGCCTTCTGTAAAAATTGAATTAAATAAATTAATTAGAAAAATATATAATCAATTTGATACTAAGACACAACTTTATTATTTTACTGAGTAAAAGAACATACCGTAAGGGAAAGAGAAAGGATTTATATTTATTTTTTCAGAAGTTTTTACATTTTAGTCACAAAGAAGATTATTTTTGGCAAATCACCTGGAAAAATATTTAACAATATTTAAAACATTTAATATATGCAAATAGTGAATTCAAAAATACATATGATAAACTATATTAAAAATAACCATGTTTTGATATTATTTGCATTAATTTAAATTAAAAAATTAAACTTTTTGCAAACAAGATTTTAGCGACGGTAAACGATTTTGTGTTTTCTCTCTTTTGCTGATTTTTTTTACCCTCTCACAATCCATCGCTCACAATAAGCTGACACATCTTTCACCGTCACCGGCCGGAGCCAAATTTTCAATCACGCCGCCACAATGAACGGGCGCATCTCTCTCTCTCGCACGTGTGGCGAGTTTATTTTTGCCGGGCGCACAATCAATATTCCATTCCGATGGATTCTCTCATTTTCCGAACACAGCACGCGTGCAACCGAGCAGAAAGCTCCTCGTGCACCCGTTCGGTGTTTGCCAACAGCCTAATATGCGCAGATTAAAACGTCGGTGTGTGTATGTGTGCAGTACATACACCGTAATCCCCGACTCACTCGATTTTGCCGATAATTTTCGTCCAGCAACTCTGGCCAATATTTATTCGAGCAGCTCAAATTGGAATGCCGGGCGGACGCGTGGGGGGCGCCGGGGGAGCCGGGCCATTACCACGGGCTATCAGTTTACATCAAATTTGTACTGGAGCCGGTAAAAAATGTCGTGGGTTAAATTCATCCAGGCTAGCCATCATCATCCATCCATCCATCCATCCATCGGCGAGCAG